AATATTCCCAACTGCCTTTTGATTTTCTTTTCTTGGTTCTCTCTCTTATTCTTTTTTTTGAAAGAGGTCTCGCTATGTGTGCAGGCTGAGTGCAGTGGTCATCTTGGCTCACGCAACTTCCGGTCCAGGAGTTCAAGGTGGAGTGGTCCCTGGCCTCAGCTCGTTCGGGCAATTTCAGATCATTCAACATAATATTAAATATTTTGTGAGGTGTTTGCCCAGCCCACGCTGTTCCCCTTTCTTTGAGAACTATCCTATTTACAAAGATATTTTTCCAACAACGTGGTTATAGCACATGACTCCAGCCCCTGGCCACACTTAATTAGACCAGAGGTGAACACTTGATCCAGGTTGGATTAATTGAGTATCTCTCCTAAGAATTTGGAATTGGGATCAAAAGACACTGGTTTCAGTCTCAGGGTGAGGCTGGAAACACAGAGATATAAACTTGGGAGCTATGGGGTGGCCACAGGCAAGAGAGGTCCAGGAAACTTATCTGCTTAGCAAGGACACAACAGAGGAGACAGTCAACAGCCCATGAACCCCAGAGGAGCTGGAGGGAGGCTGCCTGGCTCCAGAGGGCTCTTCACTTTCTAATTCCAGGTCCTCATGGCGTCCAATGGGCACTCAATGATTTGCATTCCTTCGGTTGCCTCTGAAGCCTAAAAATGATTTTTCTCTTAATGTGAAAGCTGGTTTCATGTGCATTTTCTGATACCTGCAACTGAAAGAACTTTAAAACAATGGCTCAAATAACAAAAGATCTCAATCAACCGGATCAGAGCATCTCCATTACCTGCTGGACATTTTGCCCTTTAGTGACATATTCATTCCCAACCTTCACCCTTGGACAGCACAGGCCCTTCAGCATTTCTGCAGAATTGAGTCCCATCAGGTATCCGGCTTTGTCAGCCACTGAAGAAAGAGAAAAAAATGACATCATGCAAAAACAGTAGCTGCTAAAGTGTCCAGTCAGCCCCTGGCTTCTGGGGAGAAAGAAGTGTTTTCTGGAAGAAAAGTGTTTTCTGTCATTCTCTTAGATGTTTTCATGTTGTCGTATCTGTACCAGGTCTGAACTTGTTCACTGAAACTTCAGTCCCATAGTCCAGGGCCCCATGGTTCTCAAGAACTTCCAATTTGCCTCCTAGATGCAACTTTTTTTTTTTTTTTTTTTGAGACAGAGTCTCGCTCTGTCGCCCGGGCTGGAGTACAGTGGCTGGATCTCAGCTCACTGCAAGCTCTGCCTCCTGGGTTTATGCCATTCTCATGCCTCAGCCTCCCTAGTAGCTGGGACTGCAGGCGCCCGCCACCTTGCCCGGCTAGTTTTTTGTATTTTTTAGTAGAGACGGGGTTTCACTGTCTTAGCCAGGATGGTCTCGATCTCCTGACCTCGTGATCCACCCATCTCGGCCTCCCAAAGTGCTGGGATTACAGGCTTGAGCCACCACGCCTGGCCCTAGATGCAACTTTTAACAATAAGAAGCTTCTTGGCCAATCCTGACCTACTGATATTTTGATTTCATTAAAAAAATGTTAATTACAGGCCGGGCACGGTGGTTCATGCCTATAATCCCAGCACTTTGGGAGGCTGAGGCGGGTGGATCACCTGAGGTCAGGAGTTCAAGACCAGCCTGGCCAACATGGCCCTGCCTGTACTAAAAATACAAAAATCAGCCTGGCATAGTGGCGAGCGCCTGTAATCCCAGCTGCTCAGGAGGCTGAGGAAGAAGAATCACTTGAACCCGGGAGGTGGAGGTTGCAGTGAGCCGAGATCATGCCATTGCACTCCAGTCTGGGTGACAAGAGCAAGACTCTGACTCAAAAAAATAAAAATTAATTACATAGTTATGTTGGAGTCTGACAATACATTAAAATGTTATATGAGTAAAGGAGCCACCACTTGGACAGTTGTCAGTATACACGAGGCACCTTCCTAATTTAAGCAAAGTACCACGCTCATAGTTGAAAGAGAAGTACGAAACCTGACCCTGCCTTCAAATGTTTGGAGATGGTCAAAAGCAGTTGACTTTTGGCTGTTTCCTATAGATCATGGGTTATATGTTTGCATATATTTCAGCAGACGTTCATTGACTTTGAGAATGACCTGGTGGCCTGTACTGAGCTCATCAAAAAGGCAGAGAAATGCTGCTCCCCAGGGACTACTACTTTTTTTTTTTTGGAGTTTTGCAATGTTGCCCAGGATGGAGTGCAGTGGTGTGATCTCAGCTCACTGCAAGTTCTGCCTCCCAGGTTCACGCCATTCTCCTGCCTCAGTCTCCCAAGTAGCTGGGATTACAGGTGCCCGCCACCACACCCGGCTAATTTTTTGTATTTTAGTAGAGAGGGGGTTTCACCATGTTAGCCAGGATAGTCTCGACCTCTGACCTCAGATGATCCACCCACCTTGGCCTCCCAAAGTGCTGGGATTACAGGCATGAGCTGCCGTGCCCGGCCTGCTCATGACATTTCTTCTGCTTGAACTGATCTCTCCTCCAATTTTTCAGAATCCTACTCATCCCTCAAAGTCCAAGTCAGTGCCCCTTCTATCAGGAAGCCTTCCCTGATTGCCCCAGTCAGAAATGTTTCCTGTGTGAAGACTTGGAGTCCCCTCCACTGTGATGGGCAGGATTCTAGGATGGCACCCAAGGTGTGCCCCCTGGTGTACATGCCTTGTATGATCTCCTTTACTTGAGTGCAGTGGAACCTGTACAACTCCCATGATGAGGTGACCAATCAGGTGACTCTGAGTTAATACAAAGGGAGAATCATCCCAGGCAGGCCTAGGATAGGAGGCTGCTGAGCCTTTATGGGACACTGATAAGGTTTTGTAGATTTTTCCACCCTTTACTTTATGGCTGCACTTCCTTTTTATTATTTGAGAGTTTAAAGCGTACTGCTTCACACACCGTGGGGCTGTGATCAAAAGGCAGAATTATCAGGAACCATTCATGTTGCCAGGCTTTAATTCAAGGAACTTGTAAGACGCATCATGAGCGCTAAGAAGTCTAATGAGCAGGATGTATCGGGGTGGGGGGGGCGGGAGTCAGTCACTGCTCAGCCCTTCCTGCTGCCCTCTGCTCTAGTTCCAGGCCTCTTAGGGATGAGGCAGAGGGTGGCGGTAGGATCAGCCAGGTGAGAGGTATGGGGAGGAAGAACTGTTCACCATTCTTGGTTCAGGGCCAATTTCAACAGATGCTGGGGTGCAGGTGATGGGAGGAAGAAAACTTGGCTTCCACTTTACCATATCATTTTAGGCCTGAGTGATGAAGACTGCATAGTGGTGGAGAGAAAGAGAAGTTCACCTAACAATACTGTCTCATGAGAGTCCACCTTAAAAAAACCAGGCACATCACGCCTGTAATCCCAGCACTTTGGGAGGCGAGGCAGGCGGATCACGAGGTCAGGAGATCCAGACCATCCTGACTAACACGGTGAAACCCTGTCTCTACTAAAAAATACTTAAAAATTAGCCGGGCATGGCGGCGGCCGCCTGTAGTCCCAGCTACTTGGGAGGCTGAGGCAGGAGAATGGCGTGAACCCGGGAGGTGGAGCTTGCAGTGAGCCGAGATCGCGCCACTGCTCTCCAGCCCGGGTGGCAGAGCGAGACTCCGCCTCAAAAAAAAAAAAAAAAAAATCCTTGTTTTTCAAGGATTCACCACTCTAAGAGTCCTTGACTGAGTGAGCAGACTCCTGGTGCATGCTACAATGAGCTTCAGGAAACCTAGATTTGATTTATGCAGTTTTGGAAGAACAGCTCTTGAAATGAATGCAGTTTATCTCACGTGGCCTCGCCCACACGCGAACACAGTTGGACCCAATCGCATCCCTTTTCCCGGATGCGGTTACCTTCGGTGCCGTCCGGCTCCGCCTGCTCCTCACGCTGCTTCTGCTTGAACTTCATGTTCCCATAATGCATCACGGCTCCCGTCAGTTTGTAGATCCCAACTTTCTCCTCTGAGCTGAAGCCCAGGATGTCAATGGCATTCTGGAAAGAAAAAAAGGACAACTGTCATAGTAGGACTCAGGGATCCATATGCAGCCTCTTCTTGGCAAAGACCTTACCTCTTTTTTGTATAGCATGTGAGACAGCATTTGCCCAAATAAGTGGATGACAGGTGGGGTGTGGTAAAATTAGAAACCATTTGTTTCACACATGTTTGTGTGGGTGGATGGAGACTATGGGAAAAAGGTGTGAATTGTCTGTTTCCTTCCATCAAGTAAGAACCGATTACGGCCGGGTATGGTGGCTCACGCCTGTAATCCCAGCACTTCGGGAGGCCGAGGCAGGCAGATCACGAGGTCAGGAGATCGAGACCATCCTGGCCAATGTGGTGAAACTCCCATCTTTACTAAAACTAGCTGGGCACGGTGGCCAGTGCCTGTAGTCCCAGCTACTCAGGAGGCTGAGGCAGGAGAATCACTTGAACCCGAGAGGCAGAGGTTGGAGTGAGCCAAGATTGCACCATTGCACTCCAGCCTGGGAGACAGAGCAAGACCCCATCTCAAAAACAAACAAACAAACAAAAGGCAGGGCGCGGTGGCTCAAGCCTGTAATCCTAGCACTTTGGGAGGCCGAGGAGATGGAGACCATCCTGGCTAACACAGTGAAACCCCGTCTCTACTAAAAATACAAAAAAATAACCAGGCGTGGTGGCGGGCACTTGTAGCCCCAGCTACTCAGGAGGCTGAGGCAGGAGAATGGGGTCAACCCGGGAGGCTGAGGTTGCAGTGAGCCGAGACTGCACCACTGCACTCCAGCCTGGGTGATAGAGCAAGACTCCATCTCAAAAAAAAAAAAAAAAAAAAAGAAAAGAAAAAGAAGAGAACTGATAATGATTTTTTTTTTTTTTTTTTTTTTTTGAGATGGAGTCTAGCTCTGTCGCCCAGGCTGGAGTGCAGTGGCCAGATCTCAGCTCACTGCAAGCTCCGCCTCCCGGGTTCACGCCATTCTCCTGCCTCAGCCTCCCGAGTAGCTGGGACTACAGGCGCCCGCCACCTCGCCCGGCTAGTTTTTTGTATTTTTTAGTAGAGACGGGGTTTCACCGGATTAGCCAGGATGGTCTCAATCTCCTGACCTCATGATCTGCCCGTCTCGGCCTCCCAAAGTGCTGGGGAGAACTGATTATGATCTTTTCGCACTGTACATAGATTTGGGGGGCAATTTTCTGGATGAGGCTATTGGGAACCATTGAATGATACTGAGAGCTGGGAATGTCATGGAGAATGACTAGGAAATAATGTTCAACGGCTTAAGAGTTCGGCATTGTAATCCAGAAATTCCAGCATTGTTTGGACTCAAGACAATCAATATGCATTATAGAATATTAGATCTGGAAGGGAAGATCATCCAAGATGGTATCATCATTTCCCAAATGAGAAAGGGGCAAGCTTTTGCAGAGCCCTTTCTATGTGCTAGACATTGGGTAGGCATCATCTCTATGTTCTTATTAAATCCTCATGAAGCCCCTTTCTTTAGCTGTGCAGGTTTTTCCAAATTTCTGGATGAAGAATTGAGGGTCTAGTTGGTAAGCAGCCTGTCAAAAGTCATACAGGGAGGGTGTGATAAGACTGGGACTGGAGTTAGGTCTCGGTCCCTTCAAAACCTATGGTCATTGCTGGTTTGGTTTTATAACCACGTTGCCTGTCTTCCACCACAAAGGTTTCAACTAAAAGAAATTCTTCCCTGGGGTTCACATATTGATTATGCAGTAGGGTTTGCAATCTGAGCCTGTAGAGTGTCCGTTGGTAGGACTGAAACATGTCTGGACATGTTTGGTGAGCAGGTAGGATAGACCCAGTAGGCCAACACCAGCAGGATGATATTGGAGAGTCAGGCATTCTTGGAGTGGCACCCCCTTTTAGTGGAGAATGAGCCTATGCCAGGAGCTGGGATATATGGGGAGGAGAGATTCCGAGGCCATGATGGCCATCCCTTGAATCCATATCCCATTTCAGGGATGCATATCTCTGTCCTAGGGAGGGGTCATTGTAGGTTAAAAGAGAAAGAAAGAACTCTTTCAAAAACATTGAAAGGAGCAGATGAAAGCATTACTGCCTGGGGACCCTTTTGGAGAATGTCATGGCACTCCAGCCTGGGCGACAGAGTGAGACTCTGTCTGAAAAAAGAAAGAAGAGAAGAAAGAAGGAAAGAAGGAAGGAAAGAAGAAAGAAAAAAGAAAGAAAGAAAGAAAGAAAGAAAGAAAGAAAGAAAGAAAGAAAGAAAGAAAGAAAGAAAGAAAGAAAGAAAGGAAAGAAAGAGAGAAAGAGGAAGGAAGGAAGGAAAGAGAGAGAGAGGAAGGAAGGAAGGAAAGAAGGAAGGAAGGAAGGAAAGAGAGAGAGAGAAAGGAAGGAAGGAAGGTAGGAAGGAAGGGAAAGACTCTGTCACTGACGAACTGTGTCTTCCAGAAAATTATATGTATTTTAAGAGTCAGCTTCCACATTTATAAAATGGAGACGATAATGACACCTACGCCAGAGTTGCTTTTGAGACTATGAGATAATGCAGGTAAAGCCACTTATCTCAGTGTCTGGCATATGTAAGTGCTCAATATATTTAGTTATTACTGTTATTATGATTATTAATCCTGCAGGTACTTTCCCCAAATAAACACCACAGGCCAGACAGGTGTATTGAGGAGCTGGGTGTCTAAGGTGAGCCTAAAGTGAAAGGCAGAAAGAAAAATAGAGAGGCTATTACAGAGTAGGGTTGATTTTCTGCTTTATACTTTTTTATATTTTCTAAATTTTCTCGAAGAACCATGTAGACGGTTTTGCAACATGAAAACTTTTAACAAATGTTATGTTGAAGATCTTATAAACGCAAAAATGCATTCTAGTTAAAATGCTAGAGAACAGAACTGAAGGCCTGCTTTGGTGAACCTTCTGGATTCCCATTCTGGAATGCTGTGAGGTGGAGCTGAGTAGGGAGGGGCCAATCTGTGCTAATTCTCTGAGCTCTTGATCTCTGAGATCTTGAGTCTAATCACTTAGTATCCCTGGATTTCAGTTTTCCCATTAGCTCACTAACGTGTCTCTCAGTTCATAAACTCAATAACTCTGTGCATAAACAGACAAATAAATGGCACGCTTACATCTGTCGCCAGCAGTTCTTCACTGTCATCGATACTGGCCACTGTGACTTCTCCTTGGCTCACGAAGGGGAAGTCAAAGGGGTTGGTGGAGATCAGAAGCAAGTCTGTGAAACACAGAGATCCCTTTAATGGCTTATGCATAACTTACTCTGGGTTTTTTTTTTCCCCCAATGTCACTGATTTGGAAGATAAGAAAAGTATTCCAAGAGCTTACCAATTAGTTCTGGCTTCTTGTTTGACAAAATTTGGTAGAAAATATGATAGCTTCTCTCACTGGATAATTGAAATGTCACTCTGGATTTTTCTAACAGATCTAAGGTAACAAAAATAACGTGATTTCAGGTTCTCAGGTGGTGCTTTTGTGGCCAAAACACCAACAGTTTTATAGTGTCTGGACTCACAGGTTTCGATGTCTGCCGATGCCAGCTTTCCTGTGGCTCCAAAATGAATCCGAATGAACTTCCCCTGTCCAATAACAGGTGGACAAACGTTACAGTTATTTGATTTATACGGTTTTTGTGGCTGGCCTTGGACAGGTGCTGCCACAGATAAATTACAAATGCAAAAATGCTAGAGAACAGAACTGAAGGCCTGCCTCGGTGAACCTTCTGGATTCCCATTTTGGAATGCTGTGAGGAGGAGCTGAGTAGGGAGGGGCCAGTCTGTACTAATTCTCTGAGCCCTTGATCTCTGAGATCTTGAGTCTAATCACTTAGTATCCCTGGATTTCAGTTTTCCCATTAGCTCACTAACGTGTCTCTCAGTTCATAAACTCAATAATTCTGCCCACAAACAAACAAATTAATGGCACGCTTACATCTGTCGCCAACAATTCTTCACTGTCATCGATACTGGCCACCGTGACCTCTCCTTGGCTCAGGAGGAAGGGATGCCAGAACATGGGCATCTCTCCACCTGGTGCCCAGAGCTCCCAAGCTGGGTCAGCCAGGACTCAGGTAGTTCTACCCAAGCACCTGGTCCTGTTCCTACAACTCAGGGGATGCCCATAGGCTCCTTCTTCAGCTCTCTTCTTGGGACTACTCCATTCTTGACTACCTGTCTGGTTTTTATCCTGTTCTCTTATACCTGGATTCTTGAATCTTCATAACGCCTTTGAATTCTAACTGATCGGGTTGTTCTGTCTGACTTTTTTTTTTTTTTTTTGCTTGTATTTTAGTAGATGCTACTTCTGAGATTTCTTGCCTGAGTTTCATGTATGGCTGACTACAGACAAATCTAGCTCACAGGCCCGGGCTCAGGCTCAGGCCTGGCTCTCTGGCTGCTAAAAGAACAACTCAGGGTCTAGGTGGCCCACTTTCTGGGGAGTGGGAGGTAAAATTTCATATGCGTGTTTGTGTGTATGCACCTGCTTCATACATTATCTGCTTAATTGGTCCTCAGCGACACTGCGAGCAAATTTGAGGACAAAAATATGTTTTCTTGCTTGTTCCCCTACAGCAATGGGTGAACTGAAATGTGGATGATACTTAGTAATGCCTCAATATTTTCTGAATGAACCCTAGGAAAAGTTAGTGAAGGATCAGTAAAGGCATGCGTGCATTGTAAGTGCTGGGTGTTAAGTATTTTTAGCTGCTTAATGGAAGACAATGGAAGTCATCCCTAGCCTGCAAATATTTGGAGGGTGGAAAGAGGACAAAATAGTTAGAATGATTGTGACTTCTGGGTCAGGGCTAAGAGTAGAGGCCCATGAACTCAGTAAATGGGAATGAGAAGAGGGAGTGCCTGAAGGTATCGGCTTTCACGTTAAGCTGGTATCAGGCCAGTGCAATAACTAACTTGGTCCAGGCATGGGTAACATACCTCTGCCATGTAACATGTGCCCAGACCTTCCACAAGGAAGAGGAGTTTATTTGGGCACCGGGGAGGATACACATGCAGATTGTCAGTGCAAAGCACATATCCAAGGAAACAAAAGTCAAGGCTCAGAGCCATGGTACTTGATAAATGTATCTACTTCCTCATCGATAACCATTTTATCTTTGAGGGGGGACAAAATACAAGTTTGAGACTATCCAACTACTAAGATGTGTGAAGTTTTAATGTACTTTTGCAACCATAGGCACAAATGATGGCTTCGCCTCTGAGTACTTGCTCCACTGGCCAGTGAAATGAAATAGAGGGTTGGATGTGTGTTTATTTCCAATGGGAAGTAAATGTCTTTTTGATTAAGCCAATCCTAAGTAAAAAGTTGAAGGATGGCACACATCCTTCAATGTCTTCAGTATGAATCTATTCCATCTCTTTTTTTTTTTTTTTTTGAGACAGAGTTGCCTTCTGTTGCCCGGGCTGGAGTGCAGTGTTGCAATCTCAGCTCACTGCAACCTCCGCCTCCTGGGTTCAAGCAATTCTCCTGCCTCAGCCTCTCAAGTAGCTGGGACTATAGCATGTGCCAGCACACCAGCTAATTTTTTGTATTTTTAGTAGAGATGGGGTTTCGCCATGTTGGCCAGGCTGGTCTTGAACTCCTGGCCTCAAGTGATCCACCCACCTCAGCCTCCTAAAGTGCTGGGATTACAAGCGTGAGTCACCGTGTCCAGTCTATTTAAAATTTTTGAGCTCTTTTGCCTTCACTAGGTTTTCCATGCTCCCAATCCCTGCTGAGTTGGAAGAGGTCAAATCTGCTAACTTCATTCACACTAAGGTTTCCGTGGCTAGGTCAATAGATATAGCTTAATGGATGTTTACATTTTAAAATGTTTCCACACAGAGAGACCCATTTTAGCATAAAGTTGATCTCTAATTGTGGGATGTGAATCATGTGAGTGACTTCAGGATGCTGTGAGGTGACATCGCCTAGTTAGGGTAGGACGGCAAATCCTCCCTCTGCCGGAGCCAAACCAACACCTTCCTCAAAGTGTATCAAAATATTCCCGGTGGGTAGACGGATCTCAATCACTTGGTGGTAGAAAAAGTCCCCCGTATATTCTAGCTTATGGGGCAGTTTTTCATATTCAGCATTTCAGGAGAGGGTATGGTTTTGGGAAGATACTTGAAAATTGGGCTGGGTCTTACAAATCTTGAGGAGTTGTCATTCCTCACAGTCTTGGCATTTCCAAAGGCCTCCAGCAGCGGGTTGGCTTGGATGATCTGATCCTCCAGGGTTCCCTAATCACAAACAAGAAGAGGAAAAAGAGGGCTTTGGATGGTTTTCTAAAGCAGCTCCTTGGTGAATACAACTGTGGGTGCTCTGGGTAGGTTCAGGGAGAGGTGTCGACCAGCTCCACCTGGTGGTCAGTGCAGTACCTACACCCCCACCCCCACCAGACCTAAGGCGTCTTCAAGGTGCCATCCTAGACAGGCTTTTATTAGCATAGCATCGAAGTGACTTCTGGTCATGCCAGGTTCTAGGCAGGAATATTACTGCCTCCATCAGAACATCCAGACTGCCTTTCTGATAACATTTCATTATAAATCATAGATTTTAATAACACGTACCTCTGTCATTGCATGTAATATGACCCACCTAGTATCACAGATATTTGTGTTCAAAAGGAGATATAGAATGTGAGTAAAGCAAGTGATCCAAGAGATAATACAATAAAAACAGTGGTTCTCAAAAAGGTTTTTTATGTACCAAAAAATATGAGAATGATTTTTCAGAAATCCACTCTAGAAAGCAGAGTTTTCACCTTCACCCTTCTGGGCCCAGAAAAACTTAAAAAATACTGTCAAACCTAACGGTTCTCAAAGTGTGGTCCCTGGACCAGCAGCATGAACACTACCTGGGAATATGGGAGAAATGCCAGGTATGGTAGCTCACGCTTGTAATTAGTACTTTGGGAGGCTGAGGCAGGAGGATTACTTGAGGCCAACGGTCTGATACCAGCCTGGGCAACATAGTGAGATTCTATCTCTACAAAAAATAAAAAAATGAGCCAGGCATGGTGGTTCCTGTAGTACTAACTACACAGGAGGCTGAAGCAGGATGATCGCTTGAGCCCAGGAGTTTGAGGTTACAGTGAGCTATGATGGTGTGCCACTGTACTCCAGCTTGGGTGACAGAGTGAGACCCTGTCTCTCCAAAATAAAAAGGAAGAAAAATGCAAACTATGAGGTCCCACCCTAGATCTACACAATCAGGAATTCTGGGCCTGGGCTCTGCCACCCTTTGTTAAGAATCCCTCTTGCTGATTCTGATGTGTACTCCAGTTTGAAAACCACTGGTATAAACATTCTTTCTCCAGAGGAGGATGTGGAGTTGGTCAAGGTCCCTCAGCTGTCGCTGATGGAGCTGGTGCCAGAACTCAAGTTCATTCTGGTGGAACCACTTCCTGCTTTGTTCCATGTGATACTGTGATATAATAGGAATGGTATATTTTGGTCTTTTTCTAGTTTCCTGGTACACAGCTCCTAAAACCCTTGGAATATCTGAAGGGATAAATGTCTTTGTGTGTGCTGATGAGATGATTGGTGGCTTCGGGGTCCTGGAAAGCTCAGGATGGGGGCTGGTTGCCAGGGAACCAACCATTTGATTAGAGGGTTGGAACTTTCAGTCCTATCCCTGGCCCCGGGAAGGAAAAAAGGGCTGGAGGTTGAGTCAGTCATCTATGGCCAGTGATTTAATGAATCATGCTCGTGTAATGGAGCCTCTGTAAAAACCCTACACAGAAGGCTTCAGGGAGGTTCCAGGTTGATGAACACCTGCGGGTGCTGGGAGGATGTCACCTGCAGAGACTATGCCCCTCCCCCATACCTTGCCCTAGACATCTTTTCCACTTGGCTTTTCAACTGCATCCTTTGTAACATCCTTTATAACAAACTGGCAAATGTAAGCAAAGTGTTTCTCTGAGTTCTGTGAACCGTTCTAGGTAATTAGCAAACCTGAGAAGGGGGTTGTGAGATTCCCCTGATGAATAGCTGCTTGGTTAGAAGTTCAGGAGGCCCGGACTAGTCCCTGGTATCTAAAGTGGGGGCAGTTTTGCAGGACAGAGCCCTTAACTTGTGGGATTTGATGCTTTCTCTAGGTAGTGAGTATCAGAATTGAATTGAATTGTATGACACCCAGTTGGTGTCTGCAGAGAATTGGAGAATTGTTCGACATGGGAAAACCCCATACATTTGATGTCAGATGTGTTCTGTGTGAGGATACAGAGAGGAAAGAAAGGGTTTTTCCTATTTGCCATCTCTGCTGAGCGCATACCCTGCATACACTTGGTGCTCATCCAGGCTTTAAATGACACTTATTCCAATAAGCCTCCAGATGCAGTGGCTGCTCACCTGCATTTTGCCTGGCTGTGTCTCCTTCTTCTTGTCCCCAGTAACTGCAATTGTTGCAAAATACTGGATGACACGCTTGGTGTTCACAGTCTTCCCAGCCCCGGATTCTCCGCTGCCAATTTAAAAGTAAATGGGATAAAGGAGAGTGGCATGGAGGGCACTGGTTTCCAGGACATGATGGTGCAAACAGGGGTTACTCACGTGATGAGGATAGACTGGTTGTCTCGATCTAGAAATGCAGAGGGAAGCAAAACAAAAGAAATAAACAACAAACAGAACATTAAAATAAAGTAACACTGGGGGAGGCTGGAGAACATGGGCTCTAGTTAATGTCTCTGCCATTAACCAGTGGTGTGATTTGGGCATGTCTAATCTTCTTTGGGACAATTTAGGCAGATTTCTCAAACGTGGAACGTGCAACATGACCAGCCTGCGAGGTGAGTGATTCTCCACTCACTGTGGTGAATCCCACAATGTAGAAGTTACTCATGTTCGTAGATCTTTAACTCCCTGCTAGCACTCTTCCATCGTCCTTTTCCATAAAGAAAGCAAGTGTCAGGTTCAGAGCTTGTGGGGCCTCAGCTTTTCATTAACATTTATAGATGCTGATTGGTTTTATTGTATTTTTCTTTTACCTTGACCTTCTACTTGTGAAAAATGATACTGGTTTTTCACTTACAATAGAGCATCGTTTGAACTGTGTCCCCCTAAAATTCATATATTGCATTTCTAACCCCTAGTACCTCAGAATGTGACCTTATTTGGACATAAGACGTAAGGTATTTAGTCAAGATGAGGTCATGCTGGAGTAGGGCAAGCCCCTGATCTAATGTGACTGGTATCCTTATAAACAGAAGAAATTTGGAGACACACAAGCACACAGGGAGAATGTCATATGAAGATTAAGGCAGGAATCAGGGTAATGTTTCTATAAATCAAAAACAACAAAGATTTCTGCTAGCAAACCATAGAAGCTGGGAGAGAGGCATGGGCCAGATTCTCTCTCAGCGTCCTCACACGAACCAATCCTGCTGACACATTGACCTCAGACTTCTATCGTCTAGGACTGTGAGACAGTACATTTCTATTGCGTAAGCCCCCCAGTCTGTGATACTCTGTTACAGCAGCTGTAGCAAACTAATAGAAATTGTGGTATTAGTCTTCCCTTTAAAATTAATGTAACATTAATTGATTTCAAGAAAAATATTAAGTTTGCAGACATGACAAGGAATGTGATTGTGAGAAAGAAATGACAGAAGTTTGGGCACTATTGCATTAGATGATTTTTAAGCATCTATAGGTCTCAGATGTGTGCTTCTTTTTTTTTTTTTTTTTTGAGATGGAGTTTCACTCTTGTTGCCCAGGCTGAAGTGCAGTGGTGAGATCTCAGTTCACCACAACCTCCACTTCCCAGGTGCAAGCAATTCTCCTGCCTCAGCCTCCTGAGTAGCTGGGATTACAGGTGCCCACTACCACGCCTGGCTCATTTTTTATATTTTTACTAGAGACAGGGTTTCATCATGTTGGCCAGGCTGGCCCCGAACTCCTGACCTCAGGTGATCCACCTGCCTCAGCCTCCCAAAGTGCTAGGATTACAGGCGTGAGCCACTGCACCCAGCCTTGCTTCTACTTCTAGTATCTGTTCCAAGTCAAGTCAGGTGAAGGCTGAACAGACAGATTTGATATTAGGCATCATGGCATGACGGTGTTACCATGTCTCTACTCCCCAGGTCGTTCTGGAAATTTAAGGAGTTGATGGGGAGACTGAGTTTGGGGAAGAAGGCAGGAACACTGCTTTATCCATTTCTCTGAGTGGCTACCAATATAGTTTCTCTTCAAAGTACACCTGGATTGGGAGTTCCCTGGGGACAAAGGTAGGGCATCTCGTTGTGTGCTACCTTCTCCCAAATAAGCATGAGTTCAGTGTAGCTTCAGCCATAACCACAGGCCTTGTCATGCACTGTGACTGGCAATGGAAGATGTACCCCTTGCTTTTCATCCCCAAATCATTGGACTCTCCGAAGATCACTTTGATTATTGCACCATTCAGATGACCAATGCCCCCCAAAAGCTTGAAAAATTAACTAAGGATGGCTTCAAAAAATGTGAATCAAAGAAATTACTTACCAGTCAGCATGAACTGATAGGCATTGTCAGAGATGGAGAAGATGTGAGGTGGAGCCTCCTGGCGCTTTTTGCCTCTGTAGGCAGCCACCACCTCGGGGTTGTACACCGGCAGCCACTTGTAGGGGTTGACGGTGACACAGAAGAGGCCTGAGTAGGTCTGGGAAAATCAGAACATTTATCATTTGGATCTTGTTTTTACTCAGAGAGAGACATGAAATAAAAAGGTGTTTACAGGCACTCACGTAGATCATCCAGGCTGCGTAGCGCTCTTTGAGGTTGTACAGCACGGCAGGTTCATGCAGGTGAGTCATCATGGCCATGTCCTCGATCTTGTCAAATTTGGGAGGGTTCATGGGGAAGACCTGGTCATTGTTCAGAGTGAGCGTCTGGGTATTGAGAGGAAAAGCAGTAATAAATGGGTGAGCCAAGTACCTGCATTGCACTTTACTGGTGTGGTGGAAGTGAGATATCGTGGAGCAATTACCCCATTGTGATGGATAATTTTGTGGATCCTTTCCATGACCAGACATGATCCATAAATAACAGTTCTTGAAGAATCTGTTTCTGGTCAAACTATGTGACCAATTCTGGTCTGATGCCCCCCTCCGTCATCCTGTTATCATGTGTACCAGAGGTGGGTTACAGGTGTGCAGAGCTTTGGAGCCCTTGGGCCCCAAGGCCAGGTTGCCTCTGTTTACCTTATTGACTGCGAGTGCTGTGATGAGACAAAGGTTGGAAGGTTACAAAGAACTGCTCCCAAGTGTTCTGTGCTTTTCCACCTCAATATCTCTGCTCATGAGGGTTCCTTCAGCTCGAATGTCTTCATGAAAATTTAGTTTAGAAACTTTCAAAGCTCATCTCTAGCATCACCGTTTCCACGACCCATCTCCTCTCTCCCCTATTGCTTCAAGGCTCCCATAATTATTTGTACCTCTGCTCTAATAGTTCAAACATTTGGGGGTGCATCATGGTTCTTTGCTGAATATTTTCAGAAAGTTATTTATTTATTTTTCCCTTCTGTGTGTTTTTCCCACCTTTCTCCCCCATTCAAGCTGGCTCTGTACTCCATGGCTCAGGAAAGATAGAAAATAGGTCAAGAAAAGGAAAAGAGCTTGTAATACTTCCTGGATTTTGATTTCCAAAAGCCTAAGTCCTTAGGAAAACTTTGAAAGTTTCACAGAAAAGGTAAAAAGAAGGAGTTTCGCTGGTATAGACCAAATTTTTTGAGGAAGGGAGGCATTTCCACTCCACCACCCCAGACTAGAAAAAGAAAGACAGACACCCCAGGTAGCCAAAGGGGAGGCAGAAAAGTCTATGTATCCTGAACCTCTAAGAACTGGGGTTTATTTCTTTTCTTTTCTTTTCTTTTTGAGGAGTCTCGCACTGTTGTCCAGGCTGGAGTGCAGTGGCATGATCTTGGCTCCCTGCAAGCTCTGCCTCCCAGGTTCATGCCATTCTCCTGCCTCAGCCTCCTGAGTAGCTGGGACTACAGGTGCCCACCACCACGCCTGGCTAATTTTTTGTATTTTTAGTAGAGATGGGGTTTCACCGTGTTAGCCAGGATGGTCTCAATCTCCTGACCTCGTGATCTGCCCGCCTCAGTCTCCCAAAGTGTGGGGATTACAGGCGTGAGCCACTGCGCCTGGCCAGATTGGGGCTTATTTCTTAACAGATCCTCCAGGGAGGCTGTGAATCCCCATTGTTGTGCTGTGTAAGGTTCTGAAAACGTGACACATCCCTGAGGTGGTTGGTGGTGGAGTGACCCCAAGAGTGACTGAAAAAAATTTGTCCCAGCCCACTGAAAAGGGGCCGGAATCAGAGACTAAGTTTAATAACTTATTAATAAATTTAATAAAAGCAAGGTCTGTCTCATATGCCTGAGTTTGTGAAATGAGATTCATACCTGCCATATACATCTTTGGGAAACTCTGGGAAAGCAGGTGCAGAGGTATGCTTATATCTGCAAAGCAATCAATGCTAGGACCTAGACCTGGTGGATGCCCAGTAAGTACTGAATGGTACATGATAATTCTCCACATTAAATGCGTCAATGGCTCCAGAGCTTCCTCTGTAGGAGCCACTCTACAGCCCAGAGAGGTATAATTGGTCAACCCATCCAGTTATCAGCCTTTTCCTTACATAGCCCAACCTTTTGTGCCCTCACCTGCTGTCTTCCTTTAAAGCAAACACAACAAAACCCCTCAAAGCCCAAGTCCTTGGAGAAGGAAAAAGGCAAGAGGGAAGATGCATGCGATAGCAGCTTTCACTTGCTACTTCATCGCAGAGCAGATAAACTAAGTTTTGTTCTATCTTCAGGTTCTAAAGGACCAGCATGCAATTTCTAACATTCTACTCCAAAGAAAAATGAGCATGTCCGTATTATCGAAGACATCTGGAATCAACACTCACCCGGTCATCGAGGGTCTTGACTATGACTTTGTCATTTTCCCTACTCTGGATCATGCCTTTCACATACATTTCCTTATCATCTGCTACAAAGCAGGCTTTCTTGGAATCGAATGGACGATTCTGAGCCTCGATTCTCTCCTTCTCTGGTTTCCGGAGGTAGGGAGCTGCTTCTCCAAAAATGGCCATTTCTGCATCAGAGCTCATGGCTGCAGAGGGCTGGGAAGACCAGAGGGACTGCTGAGTCTTGTGCTTGGGTGACTACTGAAGCTGCAGGGCCCCAACCCTTATTCCATTCAAACAGGCGGCCAGATTCAAAGGCTCCTGGATTGAACATAGGTCCTGAGGGATCTATGGCCAGGTCTAGGAGCTTCAAGTGTGCAAGCGGGAATAAGCTAAAGGGGATATTTTATTCTAAGAAAAAAGTATGAAGGTTTTTTTTTATCCTCTGAGTGTCGATTTTGGGAGTATTTTAGTTCAGCCCCATGTGTGCATGTCTGAATCAATTAGAGCCAAGGTGAACCCAATAAAAGAGGCTTCAGGAAGTACTTTCTTTCCTTTTTTTTCAGACAGAGTTTTGCTCTTGTTGCCCGGGCTGAAGTGCAATGGCTCCAGGTTGCAATCTTGGCTCTGCAATCTCCGCCTCCCAGGTTCAGGTGATTCTCCTGCCTCAGCTTCCCGAGTAGCTGGGAATACAGGTGCCTGCCACCACACCCAGCTAATTTTTTTATATTTTTAGTAGACAGGGGATTTCACCATGTTGGCCAGGCTGGTCTTGAACTCCTGACCTCAGGCGATCTGCCCGCCTCGACTGCCCAAAGTGCTGGGATTACAGGCATGAGCCACTGCGTCCGGCCTAGGAAGCACTTTCTAAATCGCTCATCGTGTTTGAGCCTGTGATCTCTGTGTCGTTCTAAAATCTTAAAAATATTTGAAAATCGTCATTGGAATGCTGATAATTCTTTTTTTTTTTTTTCTGAGGAAAGATCCCACAAGTACTACCACTCAAGGAACCCGGGTTTACGCCATTCTCCTGCCTCAGCCTCCCGAGTAGCTGGGACTACAGGCGCTCGCCAGCTCGCCCGGCTAGTTTTTTGTATTTTTTTTTTAGTAGAGACGGGGTTTCACCGGATTAGCCAGGATGGTCTTGATCTCCTGACCTCGTGATCCGCCCGTCTCGGCCTCCCAAAGTGCTGGGATTACAGGCTTGAGCCACCGCGCCCGGCCAGATAATTCTTATTAGACTTTTCGGTTAGCCCCGTGAAAAGTGAATGGCTTGAACATGAAGATTTGTCACATTTATTTAAATAACAAGATGATGGGAGGCAAAATGGCCCAGGGCGATGATCCCAAACTTTAACATGCCAGAATCCCCTTGAGGGGTTGTTAAAGCACAGATTACGGCCCCGTCCCAATAGTTTCTGATTCAGCAAGTCTGAAGTGAAGCCTAAAAATGGGCATTTCTAGCAAGTTCCCAGGTGATGCAGATACTGCTGATCCAGGGACCACACTGAGAGTGGCTGGCATAGTGCCTTCCTGTTCTCAGAGTGGTGCTTGAAATGTAGCAGCTTCAGGCAGGACTTCATTAAGAAATTCAGAATCTCAGACCTACCCAAGACCCACCCACCTGACCTCAGGTGATCTGCCCACCTCGGCCTCCCAAAGTGCTGGGATTACAAGCGTGAAACACTGTGCCTGGCCAACATAAATATTTTAATAAAAATTACCATATTTTCCAAAACAAAAAAAAATTTGTGAGAAGGATAATGTTGTTTTTCATTTTTTTTGCGAATCTCTTTACTGTCTTCTTAATGAAAGACTGTTGGATTCTCATATCTGCTTCTGTATTCATGCCATTGCTGTATGTTTGGTGAGAGTAAATATAAAATATTTAACTATGTAATTCAGAAAAGGCAAGAGTGTTTTAGTCACCTTTTCACATAATTGTGAATTTTCTTCTTACTCTACCAAAGCTTGACAAGTGGTAGTTTCTTAAAGGCTAGTTGCAACGTGGAATCTGAAGCCATATCAATAAACATTTCATACTCCATTACATTATAATCCACTAATCTGTCTTGCATTTTGAGTGGATCTTCTTTTCCCATATGTGGGTTTCTTTTCCCATATGTGGACTTCCCATATGTGGTTGTTTGGAAAATACTGGTTCACTGAATTATATAGTATTTCCAAATGTGGACACATTTTCTTATGCAATATAAAAAAATTACAATCATTAATATCACCACCATGATATCATTTGAAAATTCTTTCAGTACTAGGAAGCTGTCAAGCTAATGGTGGCAAATACATGTTTTCTCGTTTATATTTGATACACGAGAATGATATAAATGATATAAATACATTCTCGTTTATATTTGAAGGCTCAAAGTTGTGATTTATAACAAATGCTGTCAGTTTTTCCTCAAGATGACAACTACATTTTGTCCCTTTTGGAGAACATGTTTGCCAAATACCCAAGTCTGAATAACCATAGCTTCTCTGCTAGTTGGTCTTTTAAATTAAAATGGTGCTTTGTGAATGAAGTGGCTAGTTCAGCTTGCAACTCACACAAATGCACGTGTGCTTTTCCAGGAGACAACCATCAAACTTTGGTGGACTTCCCATTTCATCACATAAAATTATAAATGAAACTTTTTAGTGCAAGTGTATGGTAGTGAAGAATACAGTAATTACTAATGCAGTTTGGTGTCGTGCCTTGATTTGTAATAAGGTACCAGCCATTTATTCATCCTTGCTTTTGCATCACTCATGCAGTGAAAATGGCAAATAACAGCTGGGTATTATTGTGAAATTGTTTTAGCCTCACGTACCTCCTAAAAAGTTCTTGGGATTCTACAAGGACCCACAGACCACACTTTGAGAATGACTGCCCTATTGCATAAGGGAATCCTGACTGGTTACAGGTTTATGACCTTATAATATGTAGCTTGACTTAGCGTTAAGCATGATACCCAAAAGTGTTGGAAGGTAATTTACATCAAAACCATCTGTAACATAATCTCTGTGACTGGGACCAGGGAAACTAATTTTTTGATAAGGGCCTCAGAGAGATGTTTGGAAACCACTGGTTTAAAGCATTACTTTTATGAAACTACTCTGCTTTTCCAAAGCCAAAACCACGGCACAGTCTCATTGCTTGTACACAAAATAATTTTAGGCAAATATTTCTTAATTTAATATTTGTATGCTTATTTTAAAGCCTATTACCTTATTTTATCAAAACATGCCATCAATGATAAGTTCCACAAATAAAGAAAAAAATGCAGCTAATTTAAACTGCAATGCTCCTTTCTGTAGATTGTGATATGCATCCTCATTTCAGAGAGAAACTTGTAAAAAATGTACAAAAATCAGAATTGATAGAGATAGGGTAATATTTGCTTAACGTTTAGGAAGTGTGCTACATCCATGTATTCTATGATATCAATGAGTGTTTCTCAAACATAAATGGGCATATGAATCCTGCTGTGAATATTCACTAGGTCTGGGGTTGGGTTTGAGTTTTTAAATAAATATCTTACAAATTTCTCAGCTAATGCTGATGTAGCAAGAACATAGGTAACTTAAAAACAAATAAGAAAAAATGAATCAATGTAAATAAAAATATTAAGCAAATTGACAGTATTGGTGTTAACATCGCTATTGCAAAACTTGCGATGGCAATAGAAGAATAAAGTCTGAAGTCAGGGAAAGGCTGCCATAACTGATAATTGAGCCATATTTTTAGTCCTCCTAGAAAAACAAGGTTTTTCCATCTGGGCCTCACGACAGTTTTCAAGTAGAGAGTTTTCTCCCTTCATTTACTCTAACCGTGACTCAGAACCCAGTATCTACTAGTAGTATTACCTAGATGATGCTTGAGTTATCCCTCCATATTCCTGCAGTGGTGCATCTAACCTAGTTGAATACTTTTAGGCACAACTCTTTTCTCTTTGAGGCAGGTTTGATAGGCCAAAAATTCTTCTTGCTTTAAATTAAAATCTCGCTCTCTGTAATTTCAGGACAATAGTTTCTCATTCCACCCCTTGGTAAGAGCAGAACGAGTTCAAACCTTCCTACGTGACAACTCTTCACCCTTTCGATGGCTGCTCTGTGTCCTGCTTAGCTTTATCTTCTCCATGCTAAATACCCTCAGCTTCGTTTGCTTCTTCTATGATGTGCTTCGGAATCCCTTACCATCTCGGTCACTCTTCCCTGAACCCACTCCTGTTAATCTCTTACAGTGTGATATCCAAACCACATGTCACCCTCCGCTGAAGTGTGCCCTCACCTCTGTTGACCTAGGTGTCATGCCTGAGGTGGTGATTGCCTGTTGGCAGCCACGTCTCACACTGCTGACGCGCCACGCCCTTTCGAGCAAAGCCCCTCAATCCTCTCCGTGCACACAGTTGCTAAGTCAGATCTTCTCCCTATATTTATGCAACTGGGAGTTGGGACCCAAGGGAAGACCATTCATTTTTGACTGATAAACTTCACCTTGTTAGATCTGATCCAAGTCTCTAGGCATGACTCATGCTGCCCACTGAGCACCACCCTCAAGAGTTTCCTTAATTAGCCTCTTCTCTGTTCCAAGAGCAGGACCTGCTTCCAGCGTTGCATAGCTGTGCCCCTTCAACCACCTCTGTTCCTGTCTTTAAGCACCTTCTAACTGAGATGACCACCCCCGCCTGCCTAATCTCCATCACCCACTTCTGAGGGTTCCTCTCTCTCTGTTTACCCTCTGTGTACCATGACACCACTCTCAACTTTCATCCCTCTCCTGGGAATTTCACCACTACTGTGTCTTGTCAGCAATGATGTGGTCATGAGTCAATGACACCTTGCCTTTTTTGGTCCCAATTCATCTAGAATTACCTCTAATAAGCACACATTTTAAGGTGATAGGGTTTTTATTACCACATCGGGCATAGGATTGAACGGATCCCTCCCCATTCCTTCAGTATTATGCATGAGGGAAGGTGCAGCTGTGCGGATTCAGGGGTGCAGCGTCTGCTCAAGGAGTAGTAAAGTTAGCCTGTGTGTGAAAACTGCATCTGGATCCTATGAACATCATGTTCTGGGCCAACTAAGTACTGTATATTGACTTGGAGCTTGTATGTCAAAATTCTGCATCATATTTTGTACATTTTGGTGTAATGAGCAAATACGAGAAGCCATTCTTCCTTTGGTAAAACCTGTATATATTT